CATCCCTAACTGTTGTCCAGTACTGGTTGAACATGTCCAATCCACAAATCTGAAATCCCAAATACTCCAAAATCTGAAACTTGTTGTATGCCTTCATGACACCAGAAGTGGAAGACTCCACACCTAACCGAATGTGACAGGTCAAAGTCGGAACATTGCCAGTGCACAGGACCAGCAGAGCGATTCCCATGTGGCTGAGTTCAGTTTGAGTCCCAGACCTGGTGGCTTCAGAATCACACCGGGTACCTGTGCATGTATGTCCCACATCCCAGGAGGAGAATAGAGAAGAAATTGTGGCATGGCCGTCCCCCCAGGGGATGATTTCTTACTTTCTCTCTGTTCTCCAGCAAGCACACATACCCTGTAGCAAAAATGTCACTCAAAAAAAAAAAAAATTTTTTTTTTGCAGTACAAAATTATCTCAGGGCACGTGTGTACAGTATATATGAAACATAAATGAATTTGTGTTGAGATTTGGGTCTCATCCCCAAGATAGTTCATTATATATGTCTAATATTCTAAAATTTTAAAAATTCCAAAATCCAAAAACTACTGGTCCTAGCATTTCAGATAAGGGATTCTCAACCTGTAGATATATACTAAGGCAGAAACAATGCAGTATGTCATTTTAAATTAGTGGACATATTTAAAAAGTACAAATAGATTAAAGTAATTTTAATAATATTTTATGTACCTCAGTATGTCCAGAGTAGTTTTTGTGCAGCATATATGTAAAGTCCCGAGAGTCTCTTTTCTGATAATTACTGAAATTAAAGAGCATTCCCGTTGGCTTCAGTGGATATGGACCACAGTAGGAGTTGAAACGTATTTGACCTTTGTGAATGAATGAGGATTTGTTTTTTTCTATACAACCAGTTCTTTTGTATCTTCACAATAGTTTTTCATGTGATTAGAGTGATTTGTGTAGAATTTGCTAAGTATAATGTAATCCTCATTCTTCACAGTTTTATTACAGTAAGGTATTTTGAAAGTTATTTAAATTGTTTATTGTAAATAGCAAGTACACTTGTGTGTGGGTGTGCATGTATGTATGTGTGTGTGTATTACTTATATTAGTTACATGTTAGAGGCTCTCCTTTGGGAAAGCCTGTTTCTTTCCAAGTCCCGTGTATCTAAGAAGTGCTTAATCTGAAGGTCTCTCTAATGCATTTCCAGCAAATCAAAGTGGTAACTTCTAAGAGCTTTATAACGAGGCATATTTTTTTCCTATTAACATATGTTTACTGGACATAGTTCTCTCAAAGAAGCCTACTTCATCTAAATGGAAGAAAATTTTCAGAAAAAAAATGTGTTCCATGGGACCAGCAGAGGACATAATGGTTATATCACTGGACTCCTATGTAGTTGACCATGGTTCAAGTCGCAGACCCTGCAACTTAAAACCCAACCTTGGGCGCATGTACATGTGTGCCCAAGATACCGAGAAAAGAAGGGATTGTGGCATGGCCATCCCCTTTCTGTCGCTGTCTCTTGTCTCTCTCTGGCTGGCTGGCAAGTACATGTGTCCAGTAGCAAAAATCTCTCTTTAAAAGCAAAAGGTGTTGGGACCAGCATTTAGCATAATGGCTATGTCGCTGGACTCCCATGTAGTCAACTGTGGTTTGAGGCCCGGACCCGGTGGCTTAAACTCACGCCGAGCGTGTGTGTGTGTGTGCCCAAGATCCCGAGAGGAGAATGGAGGAGAAGGGATTGCGGCATGGCCATCTCCCCTCGGGGGTGATTTCTCGCTTTCTGTCTCTGTCTCTCTCTGTCTTTCTGGAGAGTGCATGCGCCCGATAGCAAAAAACCTCTCCGGAAAAAAAAAAATAAATAAGTGTTCCATTAAAGATCTTTAAAAGTATCTTTGGAAAGTCCTTACTGCTACAGTATCTGATCATTTTGCAGCAATATATAGACCTTGAAGCTATGGAGATCTCCATGGTTTATTAGAAAGCTTCATCAGCACAACTTTTATAGTAGCTAAGCTCAAGTTCTCTTATAAACTTTTACCTGCCTTCTCTAATATCAGTAGGCTAATGGTAAACTTTTTTTTAATAGCCAGAAGGCATGCACACTCACCAGACAGAAAAGCTGAAATAGAAAAGGAGAAACCAACCCCTCAATAGGGCATGGTCACACTGCAAACCTCTTCTCCATTTGTCTGTCCTGTCGAGATTTGGGGCACGTATACACATGTGGAGTGTTTTTCTTTCTTTTTTTTTTTCTAGATTTTGCCATAGAGTATGTGTGCTCTCCAGAGAGGGACAGGGAGAGTGAGAAATCACTCCCCAGGGTGGATAACCATGCTGTAGTCCCTTCTCCATTCTCTTCTCAGGATTTTGGTCATGCACACACAGATGCCTGGAATAATTTTCAAGCTGCCAGATTTGGGACTTGAACCATGCTCAGCCATGTTTTAGTCCAGTGCTTTAACTACCACACCACCTGCTGACACACCCAGAGTGCTTTTCAAGCTGCTGGGGCCAAAACCAAACTGCAGTCTACCATGTAGGATCCTCTCATTTAACCACTCAGCTATAGGGCTGGCCACAGATAGCAGATTTTCATTTTTTACCTTTAGCAACATACTCCGAAAGTGTTTTAATAGCTTTCATTATTTTTCTTCCCTCTTGCTGCTATTGGACATAATACTACTCATCCTGCAAAATTTTGTTTTATCTTTCAGAACTACTTCTCTGGTCCAACAATTCATCCCATACTTTCATACAAAGATCACTTTCTTACCATCTTTAATTATCTATACTTTTATCCTATCATAGATAACTATATCTTCTTTTTTTTTTTTTTTGAGAGATTTTTTCGCTATAGGGCGCGTGCGCTCGCCAGACAGACAGAGAGAGACATAGAGACAGAAAGCGAGAAATCACCCCCCAGGGGGGATGGTCATGCCGCAATCCCTTCTCCTCCATTCTCCTCTCGGGATCATGGGCACGCACGCACATGCGCCCGGCGTGAGTTTTAAGCCACCGGGTCCGGGACGCGAACCGCGGTCGACTACGTGGGAGTCCAGCGACATAGCCATTACGCCAACTGCTGGTTCCCAGATAACTATATCTTCTTAACATCACTTTCTATCTAGTCATTGCTTTCACATTAATAAGAATTGGTGAGATTAAACTTGAGAAACCCTTTAAAACTAAAGTGCCGAACATGCTTTACCTAATGAAGAATTAATGGACAAAACTATATAGCGATGTGTACCTAATGCCATTACACCATATGTTGGAAGACAGTTTAGTTTTGTGTGATTTTTTTGAAGTTTGTAAATTGGAAGTTCCTTAATGTATGCTCAATGAGCTTTTCATGTATTATTACAAAGATGGTTCAGGATATAGTAGCAAAAGTATCAGCTCAGAGAAACTTTCATTGATCTCTAACTTAAATTAGCCATTGATCTTCCTTTAGTTAATTATTGAACTTAAAGTTTGAAGATTCTCTCTTTTTTTTTTTTTTTTTTTTGAGAGGTCTTTGCTATAGGGCATGCGCACTCGCCAGAAAGACAGAGAGAGACAGAAAGCGAGAAATCACCCCCCAGGGGGGATGGCCACACCGCAATCCCTTCTCCTCCATTCTCCTCTCAGGATTTTGGGCACGCACGCACACATGCCCAGTGTGAGTTTTTAAACCACCAGGTCTGGGACTCGAACTGTGGACAACTACATGGGAGTCCAGCTACATAGCCATTACACTAACTGCTGGTCCCAAGTTTGAAGACTCTTTTAAACTATTAAAATCTTTGAGAAAGATCTTAATGTTTTGAGGAAAAGTCCTAAAGAGAAAGGCAGGGGTCCAGGAAGTGAATGCTGTGGTAGAAGAGTTTCTTATTGTAATGAATTAAAATATCAGAGAGAGAAGAATGTTTTTATATAAATTAACCTTTGTAGAAAAAGGTAATGCTGCTACTTTGTCATCTTTTTAACATCATTTTAAGAATTTTTCCCTAATGGTGGTGATAAATTAGCTCAAAATAGAATAAAATGCTGACAAGGAAGATTTCATATTATTGCAATTCAGTATTATCCAAATATGGATTCTATAATGATTGGAGAATTATCTGAATCTATAAATCTAAGGATTTAACAATTCCATTTGTTAAAATATTTTTCATGCCAGCAACTAGTATGGTGGTTAAGGCACTGGATTCCCACATGGCTGACAGTGGTTCAAGTCCCAGACCTGATGGCTTGAAAATCAGGCTGGGCAAATGTTCATGCATGCCCAAAATTCTAAGAGGAGAGGGGAGTGCAGTGCGATCATCCCCCTAAGGGGTGATTTCTCACTTTCCCTCTCTTCCTCTCTCTGGTGAGCATATATGCCCTATGGCATAAACCTTACAAAAAAGAAAAAAATAAAAACAACTTTTATGACCCCACTGATTAACCCAAAAATACTTTACCAGAAACATATGAAGGATATCATTATAAGAAATACACTTTGGGGTGAGCCTTTGTGGCTCAGTCAGTAGCATTTTGAATTATAATGCTAGAAGCCATATGGCCAACCACAGTCTAGATCCCTGGGTCTAACAGCACACTGGGCATGTTTGCCTAATGATCTGGAAGACTGGGAATAGGGATTCCAACGTGATGAGACCCTGTTAAGGGTTGTGCATGCTGTCATGGCTTATCCCATTGCTCTCGCTCATGCACGTGTCATGAATAAAACTTTATTATGATGTTTTTAATCTGCACCATTCTTATTCTTTCTACCCTCTGACCCCATGTCTACCAAAACAGATCAAGGGAATAGGAAGAACTGGCTGTCTTAAAACACTTCATCTTTCTTACATTCTGTTAAATTTATACATCTTTTATTCATTCTTTGTCATGCATTTATTGAGATAGAGAACTCACCAAAAGTCAATCTTGATAGTTTGTTTTTTGTATTTGGGATTTGGTTCCTCATTTAACATGGTTTAATTTTAAAATGATGTTTAATTCTAATTCTAAAAGGTGAACTTATGATGTGTCTTCTTTCAGATAGTCTTTACCTCTTACAAGGTGCAGTAGTGGCAGATCATGACTACCTTGGATTGCCTGAAATTCCAGTTGGTGCCTACCAAACAAATATTCTGGTAGAAGATGCAGCTATTGGTGGAGTCGATCATGAATTACTGGCATCAAGCAAGGATCGTGAACTATTAGAATATAGAAATGCCAAAATCTCTCCACTGATAGAAGATCACACTACTCTTGAAAAACAGACTCAGTCTGCTGGACTCATCAAACCAAGTTCTTGAGTATTTAAGTTAGTAAATACCAAAACTCATTTAAAATGTTTCTTTAGAATGTAGAAAACCCTTGAATCTTGATATCCTATCAGTTAAAAAAGATTGTATAGAAGAAGTGTCTTGATACAATCTTAAAGACTAAACCCTTAAAGTTTATTTTATAATTATTTATTTAACGTTATGCTGCATTTGGATATCAGTATGTGTGTGTGTATGTGTATATATGTGTGTATGTGTATATATTGTGTGTATATATATTATATATATATACATATATATATGAAAGAAAATTCTGTATAATGTACAGAATACATTTTTCTTCCAACTCAAAACTTTCAATTATTTGTCTGGTATGAATACCACACTTTTAGTTTTAATTTTCTGAAATATGTTTCCCACTTCAAAAATGTATGAACTACCTAGTATGGTATTAATAAATATTGAATGAACTATGAGAATGAATGAGATAAAACTTCTTTCTGTGTCAGCAGATCTTGTAAAAACCAATACCATAGGACAAAATTTAAGGTTGTTTAATGAGCTTTTATAAGTATTGGTAATTTCAAATTATCTAGTTGATTACATAGGTTCAGGAACAGAGTTTGAAACTATTAATTTGAAAATATTTTTTCATTTCCGTATTATATATTAAAGCCTCTATTACTAACATTTTTTTCCTATAGTCTTAAAAATCTTGGACATGAAGTAAAGTAGCATTAGGTAAGGGGGACAACAAAGTTTTAAAAAGTAAGAGAAAGCCTGTAGAAACTTTGAATATTCTTACATCGTGTCCAGCGCAGCCAAAACGAAGGCCCTAGGGAAACACAAGCGAGCCACAAGGCAAGCAGTGATCTCTAACAGGAAGGCCAGAGGACTTGGCAGTCTTAGAGGAGTGTAGCCAATACAGGCCAATTCTTTGTATATTTATTGAGATGCATTTGCATTTTTGTACCTGCTGAGAGAACAGGAAATTCCGAGAGTGTTTAGGGAACATGCTGAACTCTCGATATGGCCAATGTAGCCACGTGTTCCTATTTTCAGGACAGAGTGAGTACAGTACTTTGTGTTTCCTCATTCTAATATGTACACATTAACCATTTCAAGGTTCGACTGCTCTGCAGTGCCATTAAGTGTTGGTATGTGTTCCTTCTAAAGTTCATATGTTGAAGTTATAACCACCAGCACCTCGAGTTATGACCTCACTTGGAAAGTATGTTTTTGTAGGTGTAATTACTAAAGATAAGGTGATATCAAAATAAGATATGGTTGGGCCAGCCCAATAGCCCAGTGGTTAGAGGAGCCAGATCCACATGGCCATCTGTGTGGTTTGAATCCTAGCTCTGGTGATTTAAAAATTACACTGAACCTATCTGCATATGTGCTCCCAATCCCAGTAACATGGAGAAACTGAGGAAGAGGAATTGTGGCGTAACCACACCCAGGCGTGGGTGCTTTAAGGAGTGCTTTGTCCTTCTTTTTTCTGTCTCTGGTAAGCATACCCCTCCACATTCCCTAGGAAAAAAAAGATGGGAAAGTTTAGGCCCTCGTCCATTATAACTGCTGTCTTTATTAAAGTGGGAATTTTCAACACACACTCAGAGAATGCCATGTGAAAATTAGGATGGAGACTGAGGTGATCCTTCTACAAGCCAAATGAAGGCCAATGATTGCAAGAAACCTAGGGGACAAGCTTGAAATAGATTCTTCTTCACCACCCTCATAGGAAACCAATCTTGTAAGTACCTTCATTTTAGATTTCTGCCTCCAGAACTCTAAGAAAATAAAATTCTATTGTTTAAGTCATCCAGTTTGCAGTTTTTTGTTAGAGTAGTCCTAGCCAACTAATACACATAACTAGCTACATTACTTATTTTCTAAGAATGAAGAAGACTGAGGGCCTTTGTAAAGAAAGGTGTCATGATTGGAGCTAATCTGGCAGTTAATAAAGAATATACAGGTCTGGAAGGTGGCATGATGGTTAAGGGTGCTGGGCTCCCACATGCCTGACCAAGGTTCAAGTCCCAGACCTAGTGGCTTGCTTTCTCACTTTCTCTCTCTGTCTCTCTTCTCTTTCTCTCTCTCCCTCTCTGGTCAAATTTAAATAAATAAAAGTTAAATTAAAAATAATACTTAAAAATAAGAATATACTAGAGGAGGGGAGGGAAAAGGCATGGAGATTAGTTTAGAAAATTTTACAGTGAGGCCAGCAGATGGTGTAGCAGTTATATCACTGAACTCCCACATGACCCACCATGGTTCGAGTCCTGGACCCAGTGGCTTGAAAACCATACCAAGCACAGTAATAATGAGCAATATGCTTACCTAGAACTATGGCATTGACAATAATAGTCTGTCTAAAAATCATTACAGAATATCTCACATTCTCTTTATTAGCGATAATGATCTGTTGTATGTGATAGTTAAATTTTAGATGGAGAGTTAACCAGCCATAGTGCTACAATATTCCACAATGCTGAGGCCACACTGGAAGAACCCAGGCTTACGTGCAAGGTCTCCCTTTGTACACCAGGCACACATGCCTATGATCTCAGCTGGCTGAAGCCAGGCGTTGGGTTGCAAAGTGAAGACCCTGTTGTCTTTGTCCACTCACCCCCAGGGATGCAAAGATAGTTCAACAAACTAAATAACTCAAAGACTTAAGTGTAAGATCCCAAATTATGTAAATATTAGAAGAAAACGCAATGGAAATGCTCCAGAACATACACCAGAATAAATGTGGTACAGCTCATCAACAGAGTAAACGACAAAAACTGATCACCTCAATAAGGGCATGAAATGCAGTTGGTAAAATTTAACATCCCTTTGATAAAAATCCCCAACAAATTAGGTGTAAAAGAAACATACCTCAATACAATAAAGGCCATATATGACAAACCCACAGCTGGCATTATATTGAATGGGGAAAAGTTTAAGTCTTTTTTTATCTAAGAACTGGAACAAAACAAAGAAACCCACTTTTATCATTTCTACATAGTGCTAGATATCCTAGCTAGGACAGTTAGGCAAGAGAATGAAGTAAAAGTCATCCAACTCAGAAGGGAGAAAGTCAAGTCGTTCCTATGTGCAGATGGCATGATCTGATATACAGATAAACCTAAAGAACTTACCAAAAATTCTTTGAACTCATAAGTGAATTCAGTAAAACAGCAGGATACAAAATCAACATATAATATCTAGTATCATTTCTACATAACAATAAAGGAGTAACTGAAAAATAAGCAGGCAGTCCCATTTACAATAACTACAAACAAACAAACAAACAAACAAAACCCACAACAAACAAAACCCCTGGGAATACATTTAACCAAGATATACCTTACAATGAAAGCTACAGAACATTGATGAAAAAAATTGAAGACAAAAAAACGGAATGACATCGCGTATTCTTAGATTGGAACAATTAATATTTTTAAAATATTCATATTACCCAAAGCAATCTACTGATTTAATAAGATAACAAAAATTTCAATGGGCTTTCCCCGTAATGCAGTGGTTAAACACTCTGCAGAGGAAGCCAAATTCTACATAGTAACCAGCGTTCAAGTCCCACCCTGGCAGCTTGAAAAATATACCAGGCATATACACATGTGCCAGGACCCTGAGGGGATGGAGAATTGGAGAAATCAAAGTATTGCAGTGTGACTAGGTTGGGAAGTACCATCTTTTTCTCTCTTGCCTGCATATGCACGTGCACCCTCTAGCAACACAGAACAAAACAAAACAGTCCCCCGGCCCTCACAAAATCACAAAGCTAGAGGCATCACACTACCTGACTTCAAAATATACTAAATATATAAAGCTATAGTAATCAAACAGTATGGCACTAGCATAAAAACAAACACAAAGACCAGTGGCACAGAATAGAGAAAGCAGAAATCTACATATTTATAGTCAATTGATCTTTGGCAAAGTTTCCAAGAATGCAATGGGGAAAGTATAATCGCCAGTCTTTTATATCACTGTTCTAATAAATGATGCTGAGAAATTGGATATACATATGCAAAAGGATGAGATTAGACACTGATTTCACACCATATACAAAAATCAACTCAACATGGATTAAAGACTTAAGTATAAGACCTGAAAGTATGAAACTACTAGAAGAAAACGTGGAGGAAAATCTTTACATTGATCTGGATAATGATTTTTTGCATTACTTGAAAAGCACAGGGAACACAGCTGATTCCATAGCACAACATGCATTGCTCAAGAGGCTAGATCTCTCATGGGAACTGTGGTTCAGGTCTTTTGTCCCATCAGCCTGAAATGCTCTGGGCTTGTGCATGAGTACCCAAGATCCGATGGGCTGGAGGACTGGAGGAAGACAATGGTGTGTCCACATCCTGTGGAGATTGCTTCTCTCTGTCTTTCTGTGTCTCTCAATCTCACATGAGCTCACATGCACTCTATGATGAATGTGAGGGGAGGATGAAGCTCAGGAAACAAGCAAAAATAGATAAATGAGATTGCATCAAACCAAAAAGCTTTTGCACAGCAAAGAAGACAACAGAGTGAAGAGAAAGCCTATAGCATGAGAGAAAAATGTTTGCAAAATGTATATGTGATAAGGGATTAATATCCAAATATATAAAAAACTCAGTAGCAAGAAATAACTCAGTTTAAAAATGTACAAAGATCCTGAATAGACATTTTTCTGAAAATGAAAACATAAAACCCCTCAACAGATACGTGGAAAAATACTGAAAAATGTGTCATCAGAGATACAAACCAAAAGCATCATAAGATTTTACCTCACACTTGTTAGAATGACTATTATCAAAAAGATGAAAAAAATAAAATTAAGAAGCAAGTATTAGTGAAGATGTGGAGAAAAGGGAATAATTGTTTGCTTCTGATGGAAGTGTGAGTTGGTATACCCACGATGAATTTCCTAAAAAGTTTTAAATAGAACTAACCTATGATGTAGAAATCTGATTTCTGGGTATACACATGGGAACTTCAACAATTCATGAAAAAATGGGGACCAGCAGTTAGCGAGCGTAATAGCTATGTCACTGGACTCCCATGTCGTCGACCGCGGTTCGGGTCCCGGACCCAGTGGCTTAAACTCACGCTGGGCGCGTGTGTATGCATGCCCAAGATCCCAAGAGGAGAATGAAGGAGAAGGGATTGCAGTATGGCCATCCCCCCTGGAGGGTGATTTCTTGCTTTC